CAATTATAACAAACGCACGCAAGATATTATTTGCATTCCAATCGATCGTTCGTGTTAAAAGAAATGAAACAAAAAAAAAACACAAAAAATTGTTTACAACGTACAAACAAAATTTGCATTGGGATCTCTCGCTTGGAGGGGCGTGGCGTAACAATTCGACCTATCTACTCTAACTTTGAATTTAGCCACCAGATAGCGTATTCAAGTGCTAGAGATCCCAATACATCAGTAATAATTAATTAATTAATTAAATTAAGTATAGAAATAATTCTCGTATTGATTTTTTTAAATTCAAAAACACACGAACGATATTGAAATAAACGAGAATGCATTTGAAATAACGAAAAATCTATTCACGAATATAATTGTTTTATTTAGTATTTTGAAATGCTGGATTTAATTGGCCACTTTTAGCATTGCTAGTTGAGTTTGCTGGTAAAGGATTGCTCAGGTGAAGTTTTTCTTGTCTTTTAGCTGCTCTCGCTAAACAACATAATGCACCAATTAGTATAATAACACCCAGTAATGCCAATCCACCTGATACTGCTGCTCTTGCGATTGGTGGCAAATCTACTGCCATTTTTAACAACGAACGCATTTCCGGTGGTAATTCATCGATAACCTGCAAAACATTAACAAATTATTATTATCATAATTATTATGATTTTGCGTGTCACACTTAAATATAATTTTTTGTAATCTTTGTAAGAATATTTCTGAACAAATTGTACAAATAATGATATAATATTTACTATATATATATAATATAATTAAATATTAAATTAATTATTAGAATATCATTTTATTAATTATATTATTAAAATATTATCATATATATATTGGGATCTGTAGCACTTGAATGCGCAGTCTGGTGGCTAAATTCAAAATTAGAGTAGGTTACGCCACGCCCTTGCCAGAGATCCCAATATATATATAATCAGTATTAATATAATATTAAATATAATTATATAATTGAATATTAAATATTAAATATATTATTTAAATATATAATTATATATTTAAAATAATTGTATAATTTATATTCGCAATAATTATTAAATTTAAAATACTTATCACCTAACTAAATAAAAATAAGATTAACGTTATGCAAAAAATAGGTTATGTTGAAACATTTAACTAAATTAATTACAAAATGAACAACAACAACAACGTGAATTAAAACAAGTTCTAAAAAACGATAAAAAAACCAATTGTTGTACTTTAAGATGCAAGAATAAAAACGGTATGGTGTAATATGATGTAACAGAATGAAGTTAGTAGCTTTTAATGTTAATGTTAATGATGGTGATGATGATGTATAAAAATACTTACATCTTCAAACCACATAATGGGGAAAATGATGTCAGGGAAAGATGCAACCTGTTTGATATCTCGCACCTGACTAACTGCGAGATTTATTTGTATCCTTGCACGTGCACGAAGGGCTGTACCCATCATTGGTTGAACATCAACAAATAATTCATGTTTCTCTTGTACAGGTGGTGATACACCTATCACTGCTTCTCTTAATGCAGGATCACCTACAAAGAAATAAAAATAAAATTAAAGTGTAAGTAAAAATATATAAATAACACATTTATTGGGATCTCTGGCAAGGGGCGTGACGTAGCTATTCAACCTATGTACTCGAATTTTGAATTTAGCCACCAGATAGCGTATTCAAGTGCTAGAGATCCCAATATTAATTATATCATTTGCAAATAACGTACAATACATACAAACAATAAATTGAACTAACAATCATAAATTTAACTTAACTAAATAAATAATAATTGTGTAACTACACACAATTACATTGATATACAATACATACATTAATTGTAATATAATTTATTTAAATAATTATAAATATAAATTATACTTATAACTAAATATTATTTTTCTTTTACGTTTTTGTTATTTAGTTTTTTTCATTACAACGTGTTATTCAACATATTACATAATATTGTTTATTTTATTAGATTGATATAAATAAATATTAATTCGTTATAAATTATTAATTCATATTTAATGAATTTAAAGTATATGCCAGTTATATATATTTTTTTTTATTTAATAAAAAATTAATGGATTTATTCTATGAATATTTGAAACGTCTTATATTTTTTTTTTGTAAATTATATAAAGTATCATTCGATTATTTGCATAATATATTCTATCGAAATAACACGTTATTATATAATAATAAAAAGAAATATAGTATTTTTTATATAATAATATTGATTTAACTTCTAATCAAAACTGAGACTCGAATAATCGAAAAACAACAAGAATTAATTAATTTATTTATTTCTATTTTTTTTTTTATTATATAAAGTATGAAGAAAATTGAAAGGATTTCCAATGATCGTAATAACAAAAAAAAAAACAAAAAAAAAGAAATTATTCTTCATACTCTAATTATTAATTCACTTTCAATATCCTCTTCCTCTTATTCTTATTCTGTATCTTTTCTCAGGGATTATTAAAAGACACCAAGTGAGCAAATGGTGGTGGTGTAATTCGTGGGAGTAAATTTGGTGTCAGGAGGAATCTCACGATGCTACGAATCGTTATTGTTGCATATGGAATATAAAAGAAAGAGGTAAAAAAAAAAAAAGTATTAAGAAAATAGGTGTCTGTCTACATAGATCGTAGTAAAGTAACCAAGCAACGTTCCACGAAACCGGAAGTGAAATAGAAAAATGGTCGTCGGTAGACTATGACTTACGAAATAAACCGAGCTTTCTTTCTAACGCACCTTGGTAATACGCACATAATACTTTCTCTTTTGTTTTTTCTTTTCTTTTTTTTTTTTTTATTTCTATTCTAACTAGATAATTGAGACGTACGATGAATGAATGAATAAATAGATGAATGGGTGGGTGAATAGATAGGTTGATATCAACCATAACGTTTAAGATATACATTAAAAAGAATCTTTTATGTTAGAAAGGTGATCATAATTGTAGTTAATTTTATTACCTGTGTGCGTAACGTGTTATTCAATGACCGGTTGTTTCCTATATAATCGATACTCTTTCTTTTTTTTCTTTTTTTTTTTTTGACATAATATTAAATAACTAAAACTTTTATTCGTATAATTATTTCTAAATATATATATATATATGTATGTTTGTAGAAATACTTTAACTTTCGATTTACTTCTATTATTATTTTTCATTTCATATATTTATATTTATAAATAACTTTATATAATTTATATTCTATAAAAAAAAATGAATATTTTATATATTTATGTATTTATAATTAAAAATTTTCTATATATATTTATAATTTAAAATTGTAAAAGAAAAGTATTATTTCTTTCATTTGAATTTGCCGCGCGCGCACTCCTACGAAGAAGCGTAGAGAGCGATCGATACAAATCGATTATTCGATCGATCAATCAGTGACAGATTAGACAAGTAAAGAGATAGTTAGTTAAAGTGAGATAAATAATATTATAATAAGAAAATTTAAATAATTAAATAATTTGTAAGATTAATTTGACTAGTGAATATGGAAAGGAGCCAATAATAGTCTTTAATTGACGTTTCTCAATTTACACAGGTAAATTTTATATAATAAAATTCACGGTTGTAGTAAGCTAGTAAAACCTAACCTCTATTTATAGGAAAACAAATTTAATTATTATCATTACATAAAATTCTTCATTTAACGTTATCACATATATATATATATATATATATATATATATATATATATATAGCTAGTAAAACCTAACCTCTATTTATAGAAAAACAAATTTAATTATTATCATTACATAAAATTCTTCATTTAACGTTATCACATATTATATATGTGTGTGTGTATATATATACAGATATAGTTATAGATATGCTATAAAAGATTGAAAAAAAATAATTAAATAAAAATTTACCCATATAAAAGTGTGGAAAACTAAGAAGTACAGGAGAATCAAATTGGCATGCAGAAACGTTGAATGTTCCTTCAGGTGAACATGGTGGTCCAGCAGGACAGAAACATTGTTGAGAATGTACCTTGTCAGGTGATGCAAATACATTGCTTGGTGGTGTAAATCTATATCCAGGAACTTCACCATTAGTCATTACCTCTTTCTATAATAAAATAATATCGATAAAAGGATAAACATTCGATTAAACAATAAAGATCATAAAAAAAAGTGATTAATACCTGAAATACCAAAGGTAGAGCTCTGCATAGATCTTTGTCGAATATTTTCAAGACTGTATCCTTTGTAATACGTGGTGGAAAAATACTACCATCGCTACCCATGATACTATCACAATTAGGTGTCGTCCAATGACCCAAAAATTTCTTACCATCCCATTTTTCAATTAAACCATATTTAGTAACGTCACCATCACCGCTAAATACGGTGTACCAATCAGGTTGAGTACCATTTTTTCCATACAACAAACCAAATTGATCAAATGGAAACTTTGGTTCTTTTGGTACTACATCTTTTGCTAATTTCAATAATGGATCTTCATATCCCCATAATAATTGTTCTACGGATACTTCGACGAAGGGTTTGATTTTTAATATGTCCATTATTGATGCCATTGCTAATCTGAGAAAACGTGCTGCATATTTTGATTGGGATGTTGCTGACAACATTGGAACATTTGGCACTACTACGAGATCATCGTCAGAACCAACTGACAATTCCTGTCAAATAAATAAATTCATTCATTGCTTTTGATAGTTTACTTTTATTTTTTAAACTATTCAAATTGTATATATCACATATTTAACATTAGATTTATTGACTAAGTCAATGAATCTTTTTTACTGGGAAGATTAAAAAAAGATCCGCTAGGAGAAGCAGCACCAGTGAGGAGGGGTACATATGTAAATTTTACATCATCTTACTTATACCGACTATCAGACATACAATTAGCGAATGCACAATATTTTGTAGGCATGATAATTTTATTTTTTTTTTCTTCATTTTTTTCATCACATTATTTATTTATTCTAATAGTAATAAGACGTACGTTTAACGTTGTTGTCAATAGAGAATTCAAAATAT